TTAATTTTATTCTTTATATAAAACTGTCCAGTTGTTCTTTCTTTCAGAGAGCTTTCGGCTATACATTTAACCATTTTCATGGTTGAAATATATTAAGTGTTAATAAGAAATAGATTGAATAAGAAAGAACAATTGGACAGTTTTTATATAATTTATTCTCGGAAAGAAAAAAATTATAAGATCACATGAGATATTGTATAAAAAAAACTAAACCAACGCACTTGTCTGTCATATTCAATGAAACATCCATGAAAGAATGATTGCTGCCTAATTACACACACACACCCACACACACACACATATATATATATATATATATATATATATATATATATATATATATATATATATTATGGGGCGATGGGTAAATTGTCGCCATTTTATATTTTTAATTTCGCCCATGCGCGTTGTTTTGTCGACTGCACAATATAGTAACGTCAGTTGGGCACCATCTGTCTGAAAAAAGAACCATGACGCAATTCAATCCGCCAGAAATTTGGAAACTGCATGCTGTACTATTTGGCATTCGCACCGGAATTTCTAATATGAACATTTCAGAGTATTTGGGTGAAAATCTGGTGATAGTGCAGAGGATTCGGAATGATTTGGATGTGTCTAAAGGTGATTACGAAGGTGTTTGGAGTGATCATTAGTGGTACCGACGTTATGCCTACATTCATCTTCCCACAGAGCATCAGACCCAACACTGAGGCCTACATCAAGGGATTTGAGGAGGTAGTGTTGCCCTGGGTCAAGAGGGTCGCTGCTAGAAAACACTATACCTCCAACAGGAATCTACAACATGCCACACAAGCAGGAGAACCCAGTCATGGCTGTCAGATAATTTCTGCGAATACATCATAGCTTACATCTGGCCACCTAACTCCTCAGACTGCAACCGCTTGATTATTGTGTGTGGGGAGCAGTCGAGCAAAAACAAAATTTCTTATAACATCAAAAATGGTCTAAAGGCAAGGATTATGTCAGGATTCACCAATTTAAACAAGGAGAAAGTTTAGAAGAGTTGCAGGAGATTCCGAAGAATTTTGGAGGGCATGGTTGAAGCCAATGGCGATTTTATTGAATAAATTTACTCTTTAGTATTTGAAGATATTTTTGTGTAATTTTGGTAAATACATCTGGTAAAATGTGATCTTACTGTTATTTTCATTTTTGTTTTAATTTAGACGATAATTTATCCATCATACCCTGTATGTATATTATCAGTTTAAACCTCATTTCTAATGTATAAACGTATTTGAGTGGACGCTCCGTTTATTTATAAGCAGTATGCTCTTCAATAAATAAATAGGCCTGATACTCAAATACAGTACCCAATAAAAAATAACGTTTAATATGATAAAATCTATCTTATTAAAAATAAGAAATCCATTACCTCGTTAGAATATATATATATATATATATATATATATATATATATATATATATATATATATATATATAATATTTGATAATTAGTAGGAATAATTCCAAAGAAGATATAAATCCAAAGAGAGCTCAATGTAAGAATGGAGCAACAATCATAATGATTAAAGCGGAGACTTTAGTAATCCATGGCAATAATTTATTTCACGAGGTCAGACAGACCCCGTCTCTTCAGACCAAATAATTTTGCAACAATAGATGAATTTTAAATTTATCCCGCCAAAAGCGAAAAAAAAATTCAAACATAAGAAGGAACGATTGCGTCTAGCATGAAACAGCCTGTCGCCTCTGAGTGTTGACTTCAATGTTCACTTTTATATTTATATTTACATACGCACTACCTCTAATATTGAGCACTTATATATATTTATGTGTGTGTGTGTGTGTGTGGTTATTAGATTATATATGTGTATGTGTACTCAAAACTTTATATATATGTGTGTGTTTCTATTTGTGTGTATGTGTGTGTTTATGTATATGTGTATGTGTCTTTCTATGTGTGCGCATGTGTGTGACTTTTGAAGCAGACGGAGCTACTCTTAGTGCATTCCATAACTTAAATAAACTTTAAGTTTTATTTTTATCAGATTTCCAAACCTCGAAATACATTTGTCCTACAAGGAAGAGCAGGAGAAAATTAAAATGAAAGACGACAAATAAAATTTGTATAAAATCTGGCACAAATTTTCTCAGTTTACTTAATTTCTGAAACGATAAAAAAAATCTTTTTTTACTGACCCCTCCTGTTCCCGTCTCAATCGACGTAGAAGGAAATCGGCCCATCAAAAGACATAAAACTTCACCTGTCGACTTGTAATTTCCTTCTTGCTACTTCTTTCACAATTTATGCCTTCCAATTCCAATGCCAAACGATTGTCTTTTTTTCTCGTTTCCAATCGACAAAAGATCCAATTTCGGTTCCGTTCGTTGTCTTTGTGACTTTCTTATTATCAGACTTTCCTTTCAGTTCTGAAAACGTGAAATAAAATCAAATTCGAACGTAAATTTGTAATCAATTAAAATTAACGCTGCCTGATGTAAAACGTGTGGTTACATGACATTGAAGAAAAAAAAAGAAAGATGGAAAGTAAAGGGATAAAAAGAGAAGAAAAATAAATATAAAGAATAAAGCAAAAACAAAAACAAATAAATATTGGAGGGAGAGAGAAAAAGAAAGAAAAATGAAAATATGAACGAAAATTTGACAAAAAGGAAAATAAAGATATAAAGATACAAAATGAGAAAGAAAGAAAGAAAGAAAGAAAGAAAGAAAGAAAGAAAGAAAGAAAGAAAGGAAAACAGTAAGAAAAGAATAAAACGAAGATCGAGATAAGAAGAAAAAAGAAAGAAATATTGTAATGAGAAGAAAAGAAAAAAGTAAAAATGAATGAAAATACAGAATTGGTAAAAAAAGAAAAATGAAAAGGGAAGAAATATATAAAATAAGAAAGGATAAAAGAAAGAAAGAAATACAAATTAACAAAAAAGTAAAAAAAAAAAACGAAGGAAACAAAATATAACAACAAAGAAATATTAGAAAAAGACGATAAAGAAAAGAAAGTAAAAACTGAATGAAAAAGAAAGAATCAACAAAAAGGAAAAAAAAGAATGAAATTCAAAATGAAAATGAAAGAAAGAAATATAAGGAAACAAAACAAAATTCGTAACAAAAAGTAAAAGAAAAATGAAAGAGAGAAATAAAAAAAATTAAAAAGAAGGAAATAGTTGAACAAAAATGTGGAATAAAAACAATAAATAATTGAAAAAACTGATTTTTTTTGTTTTATTTAAAACAGTAAGGAGTCTACAATTACAACCATGTAAAGGGAAGAAATATATAAAATAAGATAAAAGAAAGAAAGAAATACAAATTAACAAAAAAGTAAAAAAATACCCAGAATAAGACCCGACGGCCACTCGAGGTAGAGGGTTACGTTAAAGGGCAACTTATATGGATAGGAGGCGAAGATAACGGTTAACTCTAGACATGAACAGGTTAAGACTGTAGTGATCTTGGAAACATCTTCTTGGGAATCTGTTCCACAGGGCAGTGGTTCGCGGGAAGAAGCCGTTTGAGTGGAGCTTATTTCTCGCCGATGAAATACGGAGAAAATGTGAGTGATTTGCTACAATGTAAATGGCATGGCGAGTCTTAGACGTGAAGGTTAGACCTGGTGGAACCAAGAAACATAGTTCGTCCGAGCACTTTCCATGGTTGTAATGGTAGACTCGCCATATTCCCGACTGTGAGTTAGAGGCTGGAGGATTGGGGGAAAATAATTCATCTCCAAGGAGTCGGAGTCGCTTTTGAACGCTAGTGAGAACTGGCTAATTGCCGTCCAAATACGGCAACTGTACTCCATTTTCAGCCTGATCTGGTTCTTATAAAGAGAATGAAGAATCAGGTACTTACTGGGGCGGTACAGGGAGCCGATCATTTTACCTGTATACTTAGCAATGGATCGTATATAAGAATTCAACTTAAGGTCGGGTGTGCGTTTGAGGCACAATATCCTCTCAAGGCACGGAGCCACCTCCAGGGGACATCCGTTCACCGTTACTGGCGGCAGTTCGATGTCTGTTCGGCGATGATGGAATGCATGTGAAGAAAGAAATTATAAAATGAAGGAAATACCATTTTTTTACGGATTATCTAAAAAGCCAAACGCTGTCAAATCTTCAGGAAATGTCTAATACATTATATTAATTAATATTAATCATTGTTACTCATTATTTATTTAATCTATTATAATTAACTTATTTTAATTAATTAACGCAAAAAGCCATAAAACAAAAATATAGTGGAAGTTGTAATGTTTTATATTTTCTAAGCTTGCTACAGTACAAAGCAAACCGAATACAACAGTAATAAGTGTAAAAAGTGATAAGTGGTACGCCAATTTTTCAAGTAGCTAGGAATTAACTGTCTGCCTGCGTGTCTAAGATAAATGGTTCTCGAAATCTCGGTTCTCTTAGCTTTCGAACACCAAACACTAACACAAGTATGAAACTGAAATATTTCACGATCAAGTCAAGCCAATATATGGAAATATAGGTTGGAAGATTATGTTGCACCAACTCTCCCAGTGTAGAGGAGACTTGCTTGATTATTCAAAAAAAAGAAGAATTATAAACCCTGCCTTATATCTTAACTAAAAACCTTCTTTTTTTTTAATCATTTCACCCCAAGCGACGTAATAAAGTCACTAAGACGCAAAAATAAGAGTGAGAGTGAAAGATACAGAGGACAATACAAGGAAAAGTTTCATGGAGAGAGAAAATCACGACTGATATTGCATTAAAATCTTTGAAGATCGTAGCTGACAAGAAATTAGGAAGCCAAAAAGGAGTTCCACAAGCGAGAAGTGCGAGAGAATGTCTTCTAAATACTATGGGCCGTGTCACTTCAGGACGTAGACAATCAGGCTCTCTAAAATCCCTTATTCTTTGTTGCTCTAAGCAAGGTCTTTCCCCTTGATATCACTCCCAATTCCTGTTCTGTCATACGTTAGATTTCGCGACGTTTCCCTCTGTCCATCTTGCTTTTGATAGTACTGTGAGTGCAAAATTCTCCCAAACCGGAAATATTTCCCTGAAATTTCAACATTAGCTTTCTATTTCAAAGTGTCCTTTTTGAACCTTTCGTTACTCAGTCCAACGTATTATCAGTATCCGGTTACCTCAAGGCCTCTGTTGGGCATTGCATGTTATATAAGACGATCGATATTACATAGCAATACAGATCTCTTTTCTTTGTTTCTAACATTTTCCAGTTTCTTAGTACTTTCCTTAGATTTTAGAAGACATTTGGGGGGAGGATATTCAGTGTGATTTGGATTTTTGTGCTGCATTTTCCATTGTGTTGTTATCACATTTCGTAAATAGATGAAAAAATATTTCAAGGCTCACTTCTGACACTGGTTTAAAAGATGTAACTATGTTATAGGGATAATTAAGATTGGAAGACACATTTTAGTCAAAAGCATTAAAAGTTTAAGGATTTATTGTTGGTACTATTTTAGTCATCTCTCTCTCTCTCTCTCTCTATCTATCTATCTATCCCTCTATTTCTATCTATATGTATCTCTCTCTATCCCTCGCTGTCTCTCTTTATATATATCTAAGTCTGTTCTATTTCTATCTCTCTCTCTCTCTCTCTCTCTCTTTCTTTATTTATTATATATATATATATATATATATATATATATATATATATATATATATATATATGTATGTATGTATGTATCTGTATATTTATCTATCTATATCTATCTATTTATATCTATATCTGTCTCTCTATCCCTCTCTATCTTTATCTATCTCTGTCTGTATTTCTATCTATCTATCTATCTATATCTATCTATCTATCTATCTATCTCATATTATTTATGTTTCAGTCTGTTCTTATCAAAGTTTGTTCTTATCTATCTATTTATCTATATATCTATCTATCTAAGTCTGTTCTTATCTCTCTCTCTCTCTCTCTATATATATATATATATATATATATATATATATATATATATATATAAATGAGAGAAAAGAACAAATGGTGTAAAAATCTGCTGTTCGAAGCATTTACTTTTAAAAAAAGGTGCTTAATTCAAAGTAGAGCAATATATTATATTTATTATATTTTTATTATAAGAGATTATAAAAACATTTTAAAATCGGTTTCAAAAATGTTTTTATTATATATGTTGTCATCCACAGACAGACTGATTCGCTGTATCACAGCACATCAGTTTGACTAGACGTCCGGTTGCCTCTAGATAGGATCGAAACCCGGCTCAATTGGCATCAGCCGGAGATTTTAACACCGAAGGCTTTGGCGCACAGCAAGGGAGACGGTGAATTTTAAGCTTATTTATTTATTTTTAGATAAACATACAATGACTGAGAGGACTCAATTCGCTTTACCGAATAGTCTTTTATTATCAGTCATATTAGTCACTGTTTACAAACTCACTGGTCCAAGTCTATTCCAAAACCGGAATTGCACGAACCGAAGATTATTGGTGACTGTTGGTCCGCCATTGTCGTTATTCATTACAGCTTTATGGAATCTAACCAGAACATCGTTGCCGAGGTTTGATGCCAGAAAATGAATGATATATACATTCAGTTAAGCAAAATGCGACCAGCACTGGTTAATCGGAGAGGTCTAATTCTGCTTCCCAACAAAGCTCTGCAACACGTTGCCAGGATGACACCGATCTGGGTTACGATACTTTCCCAGTCACCATTATTCCGCTCTGATCTCATGCTCTATGACTATCATTTTTTCAAGAATCTTGATCATTTTTGAAGTCAAAAGATATTCCATTGCGAAGAAGATGCAAGAACTGAATTCAAAGTGATTTGACGTAGGCAATGTGTGACAAAAACAACCATCTATAAATAAAAAACAATTATTATTTAAGAGCCTCCCCCACCACTATACACACACACTTCATACCTTGTCTACGTCATATCACTGCTTACCCACATCACTACACTCACTAGTTCTACGAAAGTCAACATTTGTCTCTACCTAACCTGATGATGACTTAAGAAAGTTTCTTGCCATATGAACTTGAACGATTTCTGCCGAAATTTCCTCCTTATCTGAGAAAATCCCATTGCTAAGAAGATGCAGAAACTGTATTCAAAGATTTTTTATGGCGTCCAAATTTTTAGAGTTTAATCGTAAAAACCTACGTAACCTTGTAACTCGATGACAGAAATGTACAGATGTTCAAGGTTACTATTTTGACTGATTTAAACACTGTTTAAATGCATTAATTAAATAATAATGGTTTATTTATGCATTATCTTCCAAACAGCTTAATACTTGTTTTGTCCTTGAATGCACTAAACGGCAGTATGGTAAGGATATCAACTGAAGATGTCATCAATAATCAAATGAACGGTCAAAGTTTTGCGTTTAAACTTAACGTTTCTTGTAATGTTTTATTTTTTACTAGTGTACCTGTGCCGTAAAAATTGACGGCAAGGACTGTATTATAAGTATAGCTGGCCACTCGTATTCGAGGATACCAGTCTACTAGGTAATCCCTTTTGCAGACGCTTGCTCAGGCGCATTTGTGTTTATTCAACATCCACAGAGCTCAACTGTGGTTTATATTGCAACTATGATGCGCAGACCTTAGTTTCAGTTTCTGGGAAAGAGCGTGTCGTCTAGCGTGATCAAGAATATAAACAACGCCAGCACACTCAATCCCTCGACCACGATGACTTGCGACTTCGTGCTAACACAGCTATCGACGGCCCCAAGGGTTCCGTCTACCCAATTTCACTCACAAGACTTGGCTACGTGCCCATGTATTATAAGTAATATGTAATGGTAAGTAATTTTTGTTTAATCCAAGTACAATTTTGCAATTTATTTGTTAACGTTAATAACAGTGTACAATTTATAAGCACCTAAGGAAAGATATCTATATATTATCCTTATAAATGTTACATATTTACAACCAAAATCATATTTACTGAAAAATTCCCAAAGCACAATATTTTTTGTGTAAACTTTGGAACGTCTGAGTAATCCCTGAGAGTCCGTAGATCCAATCTATAATTTCATAGTCTGCTTATTTCTCGTCCTACTAGTAGCTACGTATCATTAGATATATTTTTTAATTTACTTTTCTTTTTTTTTTCTCAAGCTATTACCATATTTCACAAGATATGCTCCTAAATCGTAACATAAAAAACTACCTAATTATTTAACTGTGTAAGCTTTTAATTGCTATGAATAATATAAACGAAGGATGTAGCGTGAATTAAAATAAACTCTTTCGATGACGAATGAATTATTACAAGAATTGTTCTCCCATCTTATTTTTTTAATTATAATTTTAAAGTTTAAAATGAATTTCTCAAAATGAACAAAGCATTCTTGAAGATATATGTGGCGTATTATATATACGAATGCTCTTCGATAGGGACATCAGTACGCGTCAATGGGACCCCAAATTAGCACGGCACCAGGTGGGTTATCGTTATTTTGCACGCTGTTCCTCAATTGTTACACACACAAAAAGCGTATATATATATATATATATATATATATATATATATGAATATGTTATCAAATGCTCCTTTGGACCACCCTGCCCCCCACCCGCGCTCAAAAACTAAAAAATGAAGAAAAAAAAAAGAAAGAATGGCCGCCTGAAAGAATGGCCGCCTGAAAGAATGGCCGCCTGAAAGAATGGCCGCATTTCGGTCTTTGTAAATTAATTAACTAAATTAACTTTCCGAGTTTGAATTAAACAAGACTAAATAGGCAAGTGAAAATTATTCTAAACAAACTGCCTTGAATGTAGGCCTGTCGTCACACTGTTTTGAATGCTGGAGGCTGTCTTTAAATCAGTGATGGCGTGGGTAAGCATTTCCACATTAAAATTAGTTCGCATAGCTTTCAAAGGTGGGGAGC